ATCTTCCAACAATGCCCAAGTCAAAATACATCTTGTCAGCAGGCTTCTGGAAGACTGTTTCAGCTTGCCAACGTGTGAGGACCTTTTACAGGTGAAAAATAACTGAAACTGGAAACACTACTGGACTAACCCACTCATTGTGTATAGAAACTCAAAAAATGCTTACAAAATATTCCAGTGTATTTGGAGATACCTACTCTCAATTTATTTTACACAAACCACAAAACTGACTAATTAGTATCACACTGGCCTCTCTCGGACATCTTTCTCTGTTGAGAAAGTTTTAAATGTAAAATGAATGTTTTAACTGTTTTGCTATTTTAAATGCACAAACAACTTATATGTGAAAGCTTTAAACGTAAAATGAATATTTTAACTGTCTACTCTGCTATTTTAAACCCACAAACAACTTACATGTGGTCCATTTTAAAACTTGTTTTTCAACTTAGCCATGTTTTTAAATATCAGCTGCACACTACCGTAGAAAAATAATTCAGTCAGAAACAGGCTGGTGAACAACACTGTGACATTTGTTAAGACAAGGAAATATTGAAATCAACATAATCCCCTCTTATTTTTCCCTTGCCAGCTGCACAGCAGGACTACAACTCCAAGAGCTTGTTGCATCATCTTCTTTCTCATCTTTGCATTGTAGGCACAATGCTGGTTTTAGTGGTTACAGATGACATTTCAACAACCACAGCTAAAAAAAAATGAGAGAGAATATTTAGTACTAACTAGACCTGGTTTTCCACAAACTACAAAGGAAAGACAGCACTGTAATGATACATTGTACACAGACAGCTTTTCCTCTATCAAAAAAGCAGCAAGTAATGCATGAAATAACTACCTCTATTACATTACTTGACTTGCTCAGGTGAGTTCTTTCCTGCCAAAGAAATACGGTCCCAAAGCTGCAACAACTGCTCTCCAACTTGTGGCTCCAGCTCCTAAAAAGTAGTAGGAAATTTGAGAAATTATTTGTGTTGCTACTACTGAATATGCAGGAACTACAACAGAATTATTAGGTGAAACTACTGGTGATTGCTTTCAGCCTTTCTGAAAGAGCTCATTCCCTTGCTATTGAGACATACATTAGAACTCCCCACACTGGGATTCTTTTTTTTTTTTTTTTACTAAGGCTCAAGAGGAGATAAAAAGATTAAAAAAGATCTTTCAGAAGCAACCCTGGCCTACAGGTTGTTTGGCGTTTTTTTGTCATTCACAGTAAGATAATAATTCTTAAAAATTCTGAGTGAACACATCACCACCACATACAAGAACATATTCATCATATACTCTGGACTTCCCACAGGTCACTTCCTTATGAACTAAACTTAACTCCACATCTTTTAAGTTCAGTTCCTTCAGGTGTGATCAAGAATGTGGAAAGGCAGGTCCTGAGTAATACAGGGGCTCTTGGTGGAATTGTAGAAATTAGTATAAAGCAGATTTGTTGTTATTTTGCTTTTTGTAAGATCATTAAGACTCTAGGTTGTATCTAGAGAGAGGAGAGAGAGGTTTTGTGGAAATAATGAGAAGATGACACAAAAAGTTTACTTCTCAAATATCTTATCATGAAGATATTTTGAGAGGAGACTAGAAAGAACATGGAAACTGCCACACAGAATTCCTGTACCAGTTCTCTTCCAGCTTTTTGTAGCTGCATTTAGCTTTAACAAATTGGGGAACTGTCCTAAGCTTTATTCTACCTCCAATTTCAAGATTCTCTACAGAAATCTTGACAGGAAGAAAAAGCAAAGCCATAATTACAAACAGTTATTTGGGTGGGACAGGCCATCTCAGGGAACAAATCTGAACCAAACAGGGAAAAAAATCTCCAGGACCAAACCAAAGAATTTCAAAAAACATTTATTTTTTTAAGCATCCAGCTTTTAATCTTGTGGCTTAAAATACACTCATCAAGAAACTGCTTTCTGATTTTATCAAAAAGTCTGCATTGCTCTAACAGTAATGCATCAGCAGAACATACCATGTACATCAATGAACTGTGATTCAGATGAACAGACCTATTACAACACTGGAGAGAAACATCAATGCTACACAAGCTAAGAAAGAACACACTGTTCCACCAAGTAAAAATATTTTACTAGTGAATAACATTACCTGGCCATCTCTGCTTATTTGTACTTTCTTATTGTCATTCCAAGGGTTCAGCAAATTGTGTGCAAACTGAAAAGGAATGCTTTCTTTTTGAATCCACTCCACCTTAAACACACCTCCGAAACCAGCAGATCCCCAGTCTTGACTTTTCTCACACCCTATCTCTGAAGCCATTCTAGCAAAACCCTGGAACAAAAATCAAAATACAAAAGACACAATTGGACCACATCTGTTTAGTTTGGAATTAAATAAATGACTGGACTTCACAGAAAACTTTCAAATTAGTTTCAATCACTCACACAGCCTCCGCCATCAATTTCTATCTTCGGAAGGGCAAGGCAACATCACCTACACTCCTGACTTGACTGTGTCTCTGTCCTGGTTTGAGCCAGGATGAAGCCAATTTTTCTTTTTACTGATTTTTTTTTCCTTCAGTAAGCTTTCTTGTAACTAGCAACAGTGTGTTCTGCTAGGCTGATAAGACAGTGGAATGTTTTTCTAACTACTGAGGCTTCAAGGCTGCACCTGCACTCTGCCGGCTCAGACACTATGGGGAGATCTGTGACCCCCCCGTAGGAGGCTGAGTTAGACAGACAGCAAAATTGGCCAAAGATATTCCATTCCATATATCTACGTAAGCTCAGAGGAAGGTCAGAGATCACAGAAGACAACTTCCTTCCTTCTCCTTCTCCCCTTCTCTTCCGTCCATGGCCGGCGTCCAGGGAGGACTCTGTCCATCCATCACCGTCGATCCTCAGGCTTGATCTCTCGTGACCCCCATAACTCTCTGCTCTGTTCCAGCAGCAGCTCCGGGATTCCTCGGGACTCTTCCCAGTTCAGGGAAGTGCTGTGGGAGTTCCTGGGGTGGGGGGAGGTGGCAGGATTTTGCCCATACCTGAATCTATCTGTATATAATTGTATATATTTTCTTGTATCATTCATTAGTGTTTTAACTAAAGCTGTGTAGTTTAGTTTTCAATCCAGCCAAGTCTCTCTCTTTTTCTCTCTCTCCTTCCCTACCTGAATACATCTGTATATAATTGTATATATTTTCTTGTATGATTCATTACTATTTTAATTAAAGCTGTGTAGTTTAGTTTTCAATCCAGCCAAGTCTCTCTCTTTTTCTCTCTCTCCTTCCCTACCTGGGTTGGGGGGGGAGGGGGGATCGAGAGCATTGTTGTTGGACCTGAGTCAAACTGTGACAGTCTCAACTTCCCTAAGATCACCAACAAGAGCACCAACCAATGGGCACAACAGCACATTTTCAGTTATCAACTGGCATCCTGAAAACTACTTTCCAATGTTAAACCTGCATTTGCCAAATCATCAGATGCATATCTCACCATACAGAGACAGCTATATTTGGGCTTATTCATTAGATTATAAATTTAGGTGAATTTCATGAAACTTTATATATTAAGAAGTAAGTTGAACTTCCTCTACCCAGAACAACCGAGTTTAGCCCTCTCTACAGAACAGCTAACCTGCAATGTTGCACTACCAGGTCAAGCCTTTAACTTCAAATTGACTAGAAATGTGTCAACAGACTGCTGACAAATACCTTACAAGATCTGAATTAAAGATACAGCTCTGGACGAATCACGGCCATGACTTCCCAGCTTCCTAAAACTACAGTTTAGGCAAAACAGATTTTATTAACACTTCCAATTAAGACAGCTATGGGTTTTCAGGCTTCAGGAAGCTGTGACTTGACTGTAACTGCTTATTCACTTTAAATACTTACTTTAAATGCAGAAAAAAAGAGCTTTTTTTTTATTTGTTTTGTTTACTGTAGTTGTTTTAAAGGGTTAATCTTGGGTATGAACATGATTCTGACTCAAGCTTTTTGAAGGCAAATTCAGTCTTACCCATTAAGTGACAATCTAAGGTAGCTAAAAGGGCGTCCTTCTGAGACACAACCACAGCATTGTATGGAGAAATTGGCTGCTCATGGTTTGATAGACATTTGCTTTCCTGGGTTAACTAGTTCAATGCCCAGGCCCAAGGAGTTGCTGTCAATGGTATTAAAGGCAGTTAACAGCCAGACAGAAGTGGTGTTCTCCAGGGCTCAGGACTGGGGCCACTCCTGTTTGACATCACCAATGATCTGGATGAGGGGGTAGGGTGCACTCTCAGTAATTTTGCAGATGACACTAAGTTGGATGCAAGTGTCTGCTTGAAGGCAAGGAACCTCTGCAGAGGGACCTGGACAGGCCTGATTGATGTGCCAAGGCCAACTGCATAAGGTTCAGTAAGGCCAAACGGTGGGACCTGCACTTTGGCCACAGCAAACCCTGGCAGCGCTACAGGTTTACTGCCATATGCTTGGGGAGGAGTGCCTGGAGAGCTGCCCTGCAGGAATCTGGGGTTGCTGACTGACAGACAGCTGAACATGAGCCAGCAGTGTGCCCAGGTGGCCAAGAAGGCCAACACAATCCTGGCCTGCATTAGGAATAGGGTGACCAGCAGGACCAGGGAGGTGATCCTACCCCTACAGTCAGCCTTGGTGAGGCCACACCTCAAAGTACTGTGTGCAAGTCTGGGCTCTTCACTGCAGAAAGGACACTGAGCTACTAGAGTATGTACAAAGAAGAGCAACAAAGCTGAGGAGCAGCTGAGGGAGATGGGGTTTTTTAGCCTGGAGAAAAGGAGGCTGATAGGACATCTTACCACTCCCTACAGCTACCAGAAAGGATGTTTAAAGAAGCGAAGAATGATAGAACGGTTTGGGTTGGAAGGAACTGTAGAGACCATCTAAGTTCCAACCCCAATGCTTGGGCAGGGGCACCTTCCACTCCATCAGGTTGCACAAAGCTCAGTCCAATTGGGCCTTGGACACTTCCAAGGATGGGGCAGCCACAACCTCTGTGGGAAACCTATACCAGCATCTCACCATGCTTACACTAAAGAATTTCTTCCTAATACATAACCTAAATCAACCCTCTTTAAGCTTAAAGCTTGTCCTGTCAAAGTCCCCTTTTTTGCCAATATTCTACCCTGATGCAGATGTGCTGACACTGGAGCCATTTGACACTTCAAGTGACCAAAGAGGTGGGGATTGGTCTGTTCAATAAAGTGAAAAGTGACAGGAAAAGAGATAAGCACCTCAAGTTGCACCAAGGGAGGTTTAGATTGGATGTCAGGAAGAGCTTCTTCACTGAAAGGGTTATCAAGCATTGGAACAGGCTGCTCAGGGCAGTGGTGGAGTCGACACCCCTGGAAGTATTGAAAGAGTTCTACAGATAGAGTACTTAGGGACGTGGTTAAGGACTTGTCAGTATTAGGTTAATGGCTGGACTCTTGAAGGTCTTTTCCAATCAAGGTAATTCTGTGATTTGCTCACTACTCCTTAGGTCAGAAATCGTAAACAAAAACCTCCATACTACACAGTCATCTGCTGTGCTCTTCTAAACCATCCACCAATTACAGTATTTTGTATTAATTACAGACTCACCTGAAAGTGTCCAGATCCTTGAACAGAAAATATTAAGTAAACCATGTTGCTCTCCCAAAAGGCTCTATTTAGTTTCCGTTCATTACTTGGCGTAGTAGACCATATCCCCTTCTGCTGAGATATATCAATGTTTTGCAAGTTGCAACTTTTCATGATGAAGTACCGAACCGGCACATTTGGTCTTGGTGAAGGAGATTTAGAACCCTGGAAAAAATCAACAGAATAAACCAAACTTCTTTTCTAAAGGTCTACACACAGATGAAGACAGAAATCCCTTGACTATGCTTCTTCTCTCCTCCCTCAGCAGATTCTACAAGAAACACAGAATCTTTCAGCTAGGACTGCCTGAACTGGTTTTAAAATGTATTTCAGCTCTACTTAGCACTTGCCAAAAAAGGAATTCACTCATCAGGGGCAGCAAACAAGAACAACAGAACAGGTCTAGTGATTAACTACAACTCTTTGAAATCTGACACACCTTCAGATGACACAAAAAGTTATCATTCTACACTGCAGCAAGAAGCATACTACTTATTTTCACCTCCAGGAAACAACCTTCATCCCTTTTACACTGGCTGGATTTTCAAGTGAAGGACTTGAGAAGAATTATTCAATTCTCCAATGAGTTTGTGCCTAGAGGAACAATGGGCCAATAACCCAATTTCAAATGTTTCCTTTGTTAAAAATAACAACCATTTAAAAAGCAGGCAGTCAGAGTAAGGCAAAAAACAGAAAAACACTTACAGACACTTACAGTGTCAATATATGCTCTCACAGAAACAGAGGAAGGCAGAACCCAAAGAATTCAGAAGTGTATGTTCTGTACACTAATTTATGAAAAAAACACCCCACACTACATCTTCGCTGGTTATTATATAAAGCTTAAAATATCCTGTATTTTCTACTTCAGGTACCTTTACCTCAGCAGTCTGCAAAGAGCAGTATTTTTACTGTATTAAACTGGTGCAACGAGGATACTCAGTCTAGATTTTAAGTTCCAGAAACAAAAAAAACATACACAGCAGTTAAAAACTAAAACCCAAGTTAGGTTCTTAATTTTTCAATATAATACCTGATAGCTGCTGAAAGATATCAGAAAATTCATTTCTGAAATTCTGTTAGTTTTGAGGAGTGTGGTGATTTGTTTACAAGAACTCTACCTTTCCAGATACTGGAGAAGATGGACTGGCACAGGGGCTGGGGTAACTACTGCTGTCTGTAGACTTCACTGATGATTGATCTGATTTGTCATCTGAAGTTCGTTTGGAGTGTGAAGTGTTTTTATCCTTGTACGCCTTTGGCTGATGAAATGCAGGAGGTGTAGATTTCATTAAAACTCTAAAAAGTAAAGGTAGATACAGGACATACCAGGAGTTTCCTAAGCTGTCACAGAGCAATTTATATCGGCATATCTGCCCTTTCCATGTCTATATATTACAGTAATGAAAAAACACATTCAAGACTAACTAAACAATAATACTGAACATGCATTGGTTTTGAATGTTCGGGTTAAACCTTTTCTGGTACTTCTTCCCAGAGATCAGAACTCAGAGACAATAGTCCTGACTTCTCTCTCAAACAGCAGGCACCATGTATGCATTAGTCCAGAGGAGGGTGACGTAAGACTTTCAGAGGACTGGAGCACCTCTGCTATGAAGCCAGGCTGAGAGAGTTGGGCCTCTACAGCTGAGAGAAGAGAAGGCTCCAGGGAGAGCAGCCTTCCAGCACCTGAAGCTGGGGATGCCCTCTGCCTCCAAGTGTTCCAAGGTCAGGCTGGATGGCACTTGGAGCCACCTGGAGGTGTCCCTGCTCATGGCAAGTGGGTTGGAACTAGATGATCTTTGAGGTCCCTTCCAACATAAACCATTCCATGATTGTAAATACTTCTCAATGAAATCACAACTGCAACACAGCACAGGACAGAATTAATGTTCTAAACTGTATTTCTACTGTTTCTACCATTTTATTATTAGCAGAAATTCCAGTGATGCTTTTATAGCTAAATTAGCAACAATTCCCAGGATCTCAAAACCTTACTTTTCAACATTAGAGGAGTCAGAGAAATCTGCTTCTGCTGTGCTTTTCCTACTGTTGGTTGACCTCCACGTAGATACTGAAGGAAGCTCTTCAGAAGCCATAGGTCTTGGTCTCTGACCAATTCCTGAAGGCTGCTGCAAACCTGCAGACTGTTCTTCAGCACTTAAAACAGCTACAATTGCTCTTACAGTTGTTTCATCAACTTGAGACCACTGTTTATAAGGAGCTCGCATACGACGCAGAAATAAGCTGTGCCACTTCTGTCTGAGTTGCAGCAGCAAACCAGCAGCCTGTAAGGGATTTCAGTTCTTTTAAAGACATTACATCAGACAGGTAATGGTAAGATGGGTAACCTAAGTCTTTTCTATCAGGCATCATCTGGCATTAAAAAATGAAGAGGGTCCAAACTGAAAAGCAAGACTAAAGCGTTCGGGAGATGAAGAAACCAACAAAAAAAACCCCAACAAAAATGGCCCACACCTTCAAAAATCTCTACGAGACATTATTACCAAATCTGATTAATTCAAGTGCTACGTAACTCAAACTACTCCACCTCCTACCACAGCTAGAACGTCTCAGTGACCTGAAGACTTCCATCTTCAAAAGGCAGCTGTTTGTTGTTTTCCTTTTTCTAAACTCGGACAGCAACTCCAAGTGCTGCATTTTGATCCAGCTTCAGTGATCCTCTCAGAGAAGAAGATACACAATATGCCATTGTGACTGCGCACTCAAGTCCTGCTCAGATTTTGGCTAACTCAGCTCATGATAAAATTTGATGGATCCTCGGAGCTGTGTCATTAGGTCAGAGAGCACCACGTAGGCAGGACAGGTGGCCAGAATGTGTTAAAGGGCCATTATGCAGCCACTATCACCTGCAGTTTGCTGTCTCCTGCAGTCTGGCAGTTTCATCAGCATCTGCTAACTTAATGGAAATGTACCAAACCTCCAATCCGGAGCTTGTAAAATATCAGCTCACCCAAAAAACTTCTGAAGCATACTCAACAGCAGCTACACTGCTGAAGCCTTCCTGCTTCCTGGTGTGATACAGAGGACACCTACACCATCACACAGGATAGTGAAGGATAGTGAAGCCACTCTGGGCTAGGTACCTAAGTAGTTTTATCTTTTTGCTCACAGATGCACAAATCCAGGGTTTTGGGTTATAAGTTATGAAATGGTACAAACTGAATGGTGAAAAAGTGAATTTGGGATATAGACTAGCCTGGTCAAAAGGGGACTGAGCCGCTGTTTCTTTATTTCTTAATGAGCTCCTGAAATAAAGGTTAAATCACAGTATGTTATCCTGTAAACTTTAGAGACCTAAAGTGAAGTGATACATTACTTACTTCAGGGTCCAGTTTGAGATGGAGCCAGTCATCCAACTTCAGTAGGGCCAAATTAGCAGCTGTGGTGTCCTCCATCTCACTATCACTGTTATCATTAGATAACCCATACCCTGAATTAAATATAAAAGGTGTATTCACATTTTTACATTCTTTCCAATTACAAACAAAAAAATCTGAACACTACTGTTCTACCAGCAACAAATGTATTTTCCCCCTAAATTCACCAAACGGAGACATTAGTAATTACTACAGAACCAATAAACTACTCTTGAACAGTTACAGAAATTCTAGTTCTGTCGTTTTACAAATTATCATACGCAACACACATATTGTGTATTTCTGAAACATGTGCCTTTCATGTAGCAAGTCCAAACGGAAACATTCCCAATCCAAAGACCACTATACCTCCAAAGGATGAAGGCTCCTGCAAAGCATTACTTGGTAATCTTGCTGGTCCACAGAAGAGTGACACAGTCACAGGTGTTACTACAGTACAGCATCTGATATTTGCTATCCTGTGAGCTCTCGTCATTTCATCATATATAAGCCAGTCTGTGAGGAGGGCCTGAATTGCTGCAGCTTGCCCATTTGCCGGTGGAATCTGTGCAAGAGCAAATAAGACCAGGCTATTCTACCCTCTGTTTGCAAGTAAAATAAATGTTAATATATTCCTGCCTTTAAATATAGGTAGACATAAATGCATAAATATTAACAAAAACTTACACCCACAAACAGAAAAGCAAGAGAGGATTCAGCCGGATTCACCAATCATCCTGACACATGGAAATAAAGTGTTTTGCTTTAAAAGGACTTCTTAAAAATCCACTTAAGAGCAGTATTCCTTCCTATTACAAGCAGGGATTGTTGAATGTTTCAAACACTTTCATGACTAGTTGGTTTCTTTTTTTACAACTTTGATTCCTGCCATCTGGAAGAAGGACTAACTGAAATACATTGCAATGACTAGTACTGGAAAAATAAACCAACTCCACTTCTGTACTGTATCAACTGCCAGGAAAAATATTTTCTAAAAATGTAGTGTTTAATACACACGCTGCTTTGAAGGTACTGACAGCTATGAAGAGACATAATAGGTTTCACAGAATACAGTGCTCTTTCTTGTGAACTGAAAAATCAAGTTCTTTTACCTTTTTATACTGAGGTTGACTAAGCACAGAGGTAGGATGAAATCGCACTTTCTTCTCCTTTGGTCCAGTCAAGACCAAATTCTCTCTGTCTACATGCACCAGGTTGGGGTACATACCAGCCACTAAGGCAGCTTTCACTACAGCCCAGTTTTCAGAGTTAGTATTAACATCTCTAATATCGGCTCCTCCCCTGGCTCTAACAAAACCTGAAGAAAGAAAAGGACAAACATCTGTTAATTCCTATTTACGTTCTACTTGTTTGCTTCTCAAAAGGCATTTTAAAATGCAAAAGAAACTACAAATACGTTGCATTTTTCACTACTGCCAATCTTAACACCACCAAGAAGAAACCATTATTCTCAAATCCTCCCTGGTAAGAGGTTTTACACTAACATTGAATATAATTACTTTCTAAAACACAACAACATTTCCTACAGAAATAATTTGTTAGCACACAGAGGTCCCACAAAACATGTCTCATGCTGAAAGCCCCTGGCATGTGTAACAATCAGGGAGCTATCACTTCAACCAGCTGTTCCCCAGCCACACTTCCTCACTCTAACATCTCTACCATGCCTACCTTCAGTGTATACTGGTCCCTTTCAAATTAAGGAGGGAAAATTACTCCACTGAACAGTATTCTTGTTGCAATTTGTATATACTTGCATTAGGTACACTTGACTCCAAAACCAGGTGAAAATCTGTTCCAAGCTACTTACCTGAGGCTCTAAGCTGACCAAGCAACTGTGTTCTCATTCCTACGATTATTTCCATCGTGGCTTGAGACAGAAAGTTCTTCTCACAGAAGGCTCTCTCCCAGCCATCACTGCGTGCCTTCTGCCATGCCTGTCAAGAGTCATTTCTTTGAAATTTGCCTATACATTTCATCAGCTAACATTGAAAAACCTACTTTT